GGCGGTCTAATTTGCTTAAGTAAGATAGTTAAAGGTATAAGACTATTAATACTATTTGGTAAAGCTAAAAGGTTTATAATAAATATACGTACGTAATACTAGTCTCGGTGCTAATAATCTATTGTATAGTTGATTACTATTGAACTATTTAATAATTTAAGTTCTCTAGTCGTCTTTATATTTTAACGTCTGCTATAGATGTATATAGGGTTTGTAGTCCCGTTCCGGGCTTATAAGCTCTTTCCTAGCTTATAAGTTCGTTATAGGCTTATAAGCTCGTTGTAGGTTTATAAGCTCGTTGTAGGCTTATAAGCTCCTAATGTCAGTTTGAGCCCTTCCTAGTTCTAGCCCTAGTCTCTAGTAGTATTATAATTATATTGCCCAGCCTTTCCGTGGCTGTTGTGTTATTAGTAGCTTGGTTAGCCCATGTCATTACTTAAGTTCGTAATATAACGGTCCCAATCCCCTATTGTATAGAAGTCCCGCAACGGCGGCTGAAGACTAAACTAATAATAAAACTAGGGATAGTAATATTAATAAGGATAATAAGTATATTAATAACAACCTAGAAGAAAATAACCTAGAAGAGGCTAATAATACCGCCGCTACTAACTACTTTACCCAATAGTCCAACGATAGACAAAGAGTTCGTAAAGTAATTAATAAACTAATAATTAAAATTATCACTCTATAGCAATATAATATACCTACCTTCAACCCTACTCGTCGATTCTATTAAAATACGTACGAAGGCTTTTAAGCTACTTAGAAGTAAGTAGTTTATACTAATAATAGGGATTACTTTAAGCGGGTATAGTATTTATTATACTATAAATTCAAAAGATAAATTCGTAAGTAATTACCCTATTATTTCTTTAATAAATTATATACTCTTTTTGCCTACCTTTTTTTTTTTTACTATTAACTAACAGCTCTTTTTGATTAATTATAGCACTTCTAGTATATATTCATAAATATTACCTCCCATAGATTAACGAGTTTGGTAATTACACCGTCTTACGATATAGAAATTTAGTATTAGAGTAACTAGTCAAATCGAGTTTGTATATAAAACTATTAAACGCCTCCTTAAGAACTGTCTCTCCTCTCTAGACTAATTATATTAATATATATAATCCTCCTACCGCTCTCAAAAATAGGAGTTTAAGTTTGGATATATAATAACAAAATAGACGGTTTTATATAAGTATAAAAGAGTAGGGATGTTTAACGATTTAGTACTAAAAGTAAATAAAGTATATTCTTTTTATTATTACCCTTATATATAGAGTTGGTCTTTTTTATACTCTAAAAGTCTAATTAATTAACCTCCTTTTTTTTAATATAGGTAGCGCTGTATATACTTAAGCTTCTATAGTATTACTACCACTATACTTATAACAACTAGCTTAGAGATCTACATTAAAATCCAATTACTACTTGTAAAAAGGAGTTTACTATATAGTATAGGCTACCCTATAAGTACTTTATATTAAAATTATTATAAATAGACCCCCTATTATTACTAGCGATAGGGGATATAAATATACACTAGTAACTAAGCGGCTCAATAACCAAGGCTGAACGTTAGGCTTACGCAATCTAAAACTCTATTACCTTACTTAGCCGCCGACGAACTACAATTATCTCCGACCTAAACCTTACTAATTATATACGTAGAATATTAGAACGAAATATAATAAATCCGGAGGTTCACGAGCCGCGCGAGCTCGAAGGTAATTAAGGCCTGCCCGCCCAACCCGCGCCCACTACTATTACGCCCGTTAACTACGATTAGTATAATAACTGCTATATACTTTCTTATAACGAACTACCCCGCTAGGCAATATAGCAAAATACTTAGAGAGGGGAGAGGGCGCCAATATTTATACCTCGCTACTATAGTAAAGGTAGAGGAGGAGGGAGAGGAGGCACTTAATAAATAGTAATATAAGAATTAATAGTAGAAAAGGGGGCTCTTATACGGGTAAATCTAAAAAGCTTTCCGCTAAAGCTTTTTAGAGAGTATTATTTTATAAAGAATACTAGTACTAAAAATACTACTAGTAACGGTTCTAGCAACTATAGTACCCCCCTAACTAATTAAAGCTCTAGCCCCCTTACTTTCGCCTTCTTACCCCCTAACTTCCTTATAAAGAGTTCTAATACCCTTTCTATCTCCCTATCCCCAAATTTAATAATAGCCACTAATTTAGTAATAGCTGTCTTACAACTATATATTAGCTCTTACCAGCTCTAATTAGCTTAATTATAAACTATTAGCTTCTATTAGACAATTATCTCAATACTAAAATAGTCCGCCGCCTTCTAACTAGCAATAAGAGGAGGGATAAGTTATACTAGCAACGCAATATAAGCGAGCTCCAACCCCTATAGTACTACTTCTAATATTTCTAATATATTTATAAGGATATAATATAGGGGTTTTCTAATACTTTAGGTAGTATTCTAGACAATACTTATATAGTGGGTATTAAAATTAGGGTAGGTACGTACACTCTAGGCAGCTGCACTCTAAGTAGTAAGTATAGTAATAGAGCTAGTAAAGAGGATAGTATTATTACTAGCAACTATAGTATTAACTGCCTCAATAGTAGATAATCGGGATAATTGACAACTTCTGAATACCCTTACGTGAAAAAGGATAACGTAAAAGACGTAGATCTAGTAATACGCGGCCATTGATTTAGCGGTATAATACGCTGGTGTGGTGTGTGTGTGTGGTGGCTGGCTGGCCGCGCTTACTCAGCGATAATATGGGGTGGGGGGGGGGGGGTTTCCAGGGAGCATTTCGGGGCTCTCCAGCTAGCCTTTTCGGTCGGTGAACCGACCGACACCTTTCACGATGAACCCCTCGAACCCCTCCTCCAAGGATCTCGTAAATCGGGGTTTTGGATATCGTAATCCGTCTTCAAAAGCGGACTCCTCGGTGGAATCTAGAGCAGATTCATAGCATGACTATCGACCCTTGACCGCCGAAACGTCCGTTGCTGTTGATAATGGAAATCGTCGGCTTTTGGGCGGGCATAAGGCAAACTTTGTCTTAGCATCCAAAAATATCAAGTATCAAGAGCAGCTGTTCTCCAACATCAGGAACGCCTTCAGAAATAGATCATATGACGGCTGGTGCCAAGGAAAGATACCGGCAGCAAGTATGAGTTCATGATCTGAATTGCTGGTTGGGGTTGGGCTGCAAGACCTGAAGTAACGCAAGACATGTGGAAAGAAAGAAGGCTGCCAGACGCCTCCATCCTTCGTCCTCTTGCCAGTCCGACCTCGAGATTTGTAACGGACACACACAGTAATGAAAAAAAAAAAAAAAAAAAAAAAAAAAAAAAAAAAAAAAAAAAAAAAAAAAAAAAAGGAAAAAAAGGAAAAAAGGAAAAAAAGGAAACAACCAAACGAACGATTTATAACCAAGGGCGGCCAATTGCGACTCTGAAATACATGTAAGGAAGCCACGTGAGCCTCACTCAGTCCTTCATTCAACCAAGGCAGCATCACAAGAATGGTACGACGAGCACCAGAAAATGATGATACTGTAGTGTACTAAGCAAAGTACACTAGAGAGTAAAACGCAAAGTGGAAACTCGTTGACTTACAATCCGTGTCTAAGGCAGATTGACGAATTATAAGCCACCGTTCCACTTATTCCCTTTTGCTTGTCAGCCGTCACGCTCCTTCCTCTTTCTTACAATGTACTCCCTTGCTGTTTGCTGTTCACGTCACGCGGTCGATATATATTGTTGTTTCCTGGAATTCTTTCGGCCACTGCCAGTCCCGTCCCCTTGTCTTCGGTTACTCATGTGTAGAAAAAAATTACTTTCATGACAACGTGACACGTCTAGCCAGCGATCCCGAGATCTTTCGTACACTAGACTACTGTTGCAGTCATTCCTCCTACAGATCTCGATCCAAACCCCAAACGTCAAAACTCAAGAGATCAATGACAACCGCCTTCCAGAAAAAAGCAACTGCCAAGCCAACCTCCTCCTCTCTTCTCGCCAGCAGAGCCGCATCTGTCATCCATCTGCAACCTCCACTTTCCCCAGTTTCTTACTGATCATCAGGTAACATCGCGGCTTGGAAAGAAGCGAAGAGAATTCTTCCATGTGTACATACAGTACGGATCTCGCATCTGGGCAGTTGCTAGGCGACCCAGGCTGGGCCGGAGTCTCAGATCTACGATCCCAGGTGGTGCTCCAGCAAACAAAAAAAAAAAAAGAACCCTAATCTTCCCCATACTAGTGGGCTTGCATGTCTTTAACGTTAACCGATGTCACTTAATACCTGTGTATGTACATGGCTGCTGGGTTTTTACGTTCGGACGAATGAATAATCCTTCAGTTCACCATGCCTGCTAATCGCACGAGATTACGAATAATTGTAGCAAAGTAGTGTACATAGATCTGTCAGTCCGTCAGTCACGCTTCAACTCACCCATTTTTCCGTCCCGCATCCTCAAAAACCTGCCAAACTAGGTACCTGAATATAAGGCTGATCTAGGTAGGCTCGCCATGTCAGAGAGCCATCGCCCATCATGTCTCGTCCTTCAAAATTTGCCGTCTCTGCCTCCTCCCCTTGCACCGTCGTCAACTTTCTGTGATATGTGTCGTACAATCCTTTAGTTTCACAGACCTATACACAGTCCATATTCACCATATCAATATACAAAATATACAAAAAGAAAAAATTGGGCGAACAACATGTACGCAGTACACAGTGTCCACCCCGCACACACATTCTAGAAGCATTATCTGTCTACAGACGTTTTTACATATGTACCTAGCCTACGCATGCAAAAACTTGTATTACATATCCGCCGCCGATGACATCGCCTGCCGTAGTAGCTCCGGATATAAGCCAAGAGCTCATGCCTGAAAAAGATGGATATCTGGCAGGGTGCTGGCAGATCTATACTGCGTAGCGCTCTAGTCCAGGCACAGGAGACACGGGGACTAAGGCGAACGGACAGTTACTGCTGCTCCATACCCTGAATTGTGTAAACTGGCCATATGTTCTCTGCTTCTAGTACCGCCATACGACAAGCAACGTAGAGAGACCGTGATCGAGAACTAGGTACCGCCTACAACATAACCGCTCTCTTCCCCTTCCAGATTCCATGGGCGTGGGATCCATCACATCTCCTGTCTACCTCTTACCCATCCTTTCCCGAACCTTTCTTTCCATTGAAAACTCTCAAATTCCCCTATGACGATCCTACCTAGAGGGGCAACCTTGCACATGATAAGGTTGAAGGTCCGCCCAAAACACAAACTGATTAGCTATGCCACTCCCTTCCAGTGAAGAGCAGTCCTCACGAGCAGACACCACCAATCAAGGCAACGATCCCACCGGCAGAAAGGAAACGGTTCAACGGAACACACCCTAGACCATCGAATTTCACGTAAAGAAAGAAATCTGGAAGAACAAATCAAGCACAAATTTTGTCAAGAGAAGCTCTTGAATCTTGCTCAATTTTTGCTTTTTGCGTATCCCACCATAACTCCATAAACGCCATGATAATGCAGGAGCCGAAGAAGCCTAAGGCTATAATGGCATGATGGTGAAGGTGGTTGATGTTGATGTGGATGGAAGTGTCAAGGGATCAATAATAGTGAATAAAGAGGGTGGTGGTGTACTGGGTATGGTATGGTGCGCACTGCGATCAGTAAGAAAGAATGTTCCCGTCCCTAATAACTTCGTAAATCGATGACCATCGACTACTGTAGGTTCCTTGGACCAAGGAAGTCGTACTATGAGACTACGTTGCCTTTGACCTGAGGTGATATTAGCAATCTAGCTACAGAAGGATCCGGTTGAGGGAGAAAAAAAATGGGAAAAACAACTTACCAAGAACTCCCAGAGCATCTTCATGAGGTTGTCAGGAAGAGTGTAGAGATCCACCGAGAACTCGCCCGCTATAGACATGTCCAGTCAGCCATCAGCTCGTGTTGCCTCCGGAAACCCAGGCCACACTCCCTAGCGGGCAAACTTACCATCGAGGTTGTTCTGGATGTACGTATTGTCATCCTTGTGATCGTGGATCATCTGAATGACCTGCAGGAGGTCATCCTCGCCCAGCTTCGTCAAGCCATCCGCCATACGCTCGATGTCGTAGGGCCGCTTCTTCTTGGAACCGCCGTCCACCGCCTTCTTCTGCTTGCGCTCCTCGTCCGAGGGCAAGGGGCCCGTCTCTCTCAGGAGCTGCTGGAGCGCCTGAGATGGGTTACGGAAGGTGACGGTATGGATGTTTTCGTACTCTGATTGCTGGAAGTTCAGGTCGTGCGCGATCGAGATCTTGCCGCCTTTCTCGGTGGTGTACATATCGATGATCATCTCAAATTCACCCCAGCCCTCGTTGGTGCATTTGAAGGGAGGATCGTTGAAAGCTGAATTCGCGACGCGTTAGCCAACCTCTGGCTCTCGAGACACAACAGAGATGGGGAGAGGTGACCGGCGGCTGCTCCGATGTCTACTTACTTTGGATAGGGTTCGCGAACGAAGGGTGAAGGTTGTAGGTCACCTTCGTGAAGCACCTGGCGGGCCTCTCCTTGCCATCTTGGTCGAGAATATAGAGCTCGACCGTCCACTCCTTCATGGGGTAGCCCTCCTGTGCCGCCGGCTTGTTGATGTTGTGTTGTTCTGTGACAACCTTGATCTTGCGCTGTAGACAGATAAACCCACGTTAGCCGTCGAATCTATTTCCCGAACAACAGCTATCCCGGAACGTTCTCCTCCTAGGGCCTTTCCTTTCCCTGCCTCTGCACCTGTTCTGTATGCCGCTACAGTGGTCACCCTGTTTGCGCAAGCTACCAACCAAACTGGACTGGGAATCCGGAAACTAACCTCGACGATCATCTTGTTTGCGCCTGGAACCCGCTTCGGATTCCTTCTAGTAGCTTTGGTTCGAGTACTCTTACTAGCACTACTGGGAACGTCCGACCGATCCTCAAGGCCCTCTGCTTCCCAGAAATTGGATGGATTCCCGCGGTTAGCTTTGTGTACTTCTCTTCACTTGATTGTGTCCTAGTACTCGAACAACACTCTTTTGACAATCGGCGTTCGGTCGGCGTCTCGAGTACAGGATAGTGGTTAGACAGTGGCGTTCGGGCTCTAGAGGAAGAGCAAGGATTCGAGGATGTACGACGGTGTTGTATCCGTTGGGCTGTCTGGGAATGGGCTCTATAGTGTTTGGTGTGTTGTATGTGTTGGTATGTCGCAGATTCCGTCGCGCTGCTACAGTTGGGCTTTGTAGCGGTAGAGAATAAGGTTCGTCCGTTACGGAGGGGTAAAGGTACCGCGGCGGGCCGTGGCGGTTGGGAACCAGGGATAATGATGGGGATAAGGTAGCTCTAAGATGTATAGCGTACAAATTGGGATAGGCAAAAGTTGGATGGGAACGCGATCGTGATTGTGAAGAGGGGCTAAGGTTAAGAGCGCGGATGTCTCCTCTTTGATGGCCTTGGGTTGAAAAATGCTCAAGGGAGTGTTCAGACAAGGCAATGTGGGAAGGTTTTTACTGAGTTATGGTGCTGATGCGACTTGGATGGTTGGGAATTTGGGTCACTGTGCAATATGTACACTCCGATGAAGTTGGTTCAAGCGGGACATACCTTCGTCATTCGCGAACGGAGGCGTCGCGGCGCCGCCATAGTCAAAACCGTAACCATGGCTGAAGTCGACCATTGTCCCGTCGCTAGCACTCAGTGAGGTACCGCTGTGCGTGCTGTGGCTGGTGCGCTGTGATGCAGTGAGCGTCAGCTCGCTTTGCTGGGATTACTCTACCCCTCACCGTGGATGTAAGCAAGGTGAGCTCACCTAGGTGAACGAAGATATCACCACTCTAGTTGAAATATCGTGATGATCGAGGAAGCAGAAGTCTTGGAAAGAAATTGTCAAAGACGACGGCGGTGCTCAAGTAGATTTTGAAATCTTGAAGTAAATTGCTCCAAGAAGTGATTCTGCGTCGTCGGGAGAAGAGTACCTAGTGAGAGGCCGCTGGCGAAGAAGAGGATCGTCGTCAGCTCGCTGTAAGGTAGTCAAGAAGAAAAGAAACTTCCAAACCGCAAAACGACCAGATTTTATATACGGTCGTCGGCAGACCGCGTCACGGACGACATGGCAAACGGAATCCAGTATTTCTGTTTCTTTCAAGACAGGCTCAGGTTTCCGTCAGCTAGCGAGTCCATCAAATTCGTCTCATCTTTTGGTGGACCATCGCGCTTAGCCGTCAGCCAGGTATGACGAGGCGAGGTTGTAAGTACAAGAACCTGACCAAAACCCCCCAAAGGCAATGCATCGGTGTGAAGGGTAGTGTGTTGTTCTATCTAAAACTGGTGGTTAAGCTAAACGTTATTTAGATCCCTTAAGAGTAATCCCCATCCTCATCCTCCTTGCCAGCCATAGTCGCAAAAGGGCCGTCGTAGTATGTTACCAGTATATTGAAATCTCGTCAAACGCACACCTAAATAGTGCTTTCATGTCGGATACTTCAACCTTTTGTTCTCGCAGACGCTGCCCATGTACCAGCTCTCTAGCCTAGGAATCATCATCGTCATAACTTCTGTAGCGGTCCTTTCATTCATTCCATCGCCCAGCCCAAGGAGGTAATAATGTCATCGTCCCCTCTAACACCTAGCAGAACGGAAAATAGAACGGGATGGTTGGAAAACTTTCCCTAAAGCAACTTCAAATTCATGCAAAACTAGACCACACATCTACTCGGCCTTCTCGTCCTCGGAATCCTCCTCAGCCTCCTTCTTCTCGGCGGCCTCCTCGGCAGCCTTGAAAAGAGCCTCGTTGTCCTTCTGGGCCTTGATAAAGGCATCCTTGAAAGCGTTGGCGTTATCGGAGTTGGCGAAGCGGATCGCGAGGGTGACGGCCTCGGGCTCACCCTCGGAAACATCGGCAGCGGCGTTCCACACCCAGCTGCGGTCGGAACCAACGTTGGGGGAGAGCTTCATCTCAGGAACAACTAGTAGGATCGTATGTTAGCAAGCTTCATTCAAGAACAGCTTCAATAGAGTAGGGTGTTTCTTACTGTAGTGGTTGGCGCAGACCTTGAGGGTCTTGTCGCGGCGCATGACGAGACGGGTCTTGCCATTCTCGTGGTGCTTGAGGAGACGGACGTCACCGGTACCGCGCTCCTTCCACTCGCTGGCCTCCTTGACGAACTTGAAAAGCTTGGCGCGCATCTTGAAGACCTGCTCCTCGGACTCCTCGTTGGTCTTGGTCTCGACCTTCTCGGTAAGGTGGATGACGGGCTCGAAGTGAACGTCCTCAGACTCGGGGGCCTCATCCTCCTCGCCCTTCTCAGCAGCGGCAGCGGCAGCAGCCTCACGCTGGGCCTTGGCGCTGCCAGAGGTGTCGCCGCGCTCCTCATCCTCCTTCTTCTCCTTCTTAGCACCACCACCGAACATAGAGAAGACAGAAGAGCTGGAGAAAGCAGCGGGCTTCTCCTCGGTCTTAGTCTATAAGCACCATCGCGTTAGCCTTCTGTTGGCTCTGTGAAAGCGCAGTTGCGAAAGAAAACGTGACAGTCGCGGGAGATCGCGGCCCCTCCTGTTCGGCTGAGAAACTCGATGTCTCATATGTTCATAAGATTATTACACGGAGCGATCGTCCAAGACAGAGAAAATCGCGACCCCTTCGCCACCCTCCCGACAGTTTCTGGTCGCCCGTTCGAATCGAAATAGGATGTTTGCGGACATGGAAGGCGAACGTACCTCCTCACCGGCGGCAGGAGCGTCAGGCTTAACCTCCTCGACAGGCTTGTTCTCGGTATCGGACATTTTGATAGACGGTTGGGGTTTGGTATCGGGGTTCTGTTCTAGCGGTTGTTGGCTCGGTTTAACTAGGAGCAGGGAGAATGAGTTAGACCACTTCCGTGATGACACATAGACAAGTTTCGCAGTGGTCCCAGGTCTTCCTTCGTTGTTCTTCCTATCGTGCAGGCATCATGAATCGCTAACCACCCCCAGAGAGACGTAGAGAGACAGAGACGGAGAGCATTCGACCATCCCATCCCGCCATTGCCGCTAGCGAACCTGACCGGCTTGTCTGACAGGCGGTGGTACTTAGGCGCACGATACGACGGGCCATCGAGGCGGGGTTTCTTGTCTTGTCTTGTCTCGTCTTGTCTGTTCCTATCTCTCTCTCTCTCTGTCTGTCTGTCTCTGCTTCTCGACTGGCGAGCGAGCGAGCGAGCGGCGCAGCGCTAGCAACAAACCACCAGCAGAGATTTGAAGCGGGGTGTGTCCCATGTGCGGGGAGGTTGGATGCTAAATGCCTGCACGGGTCGGTAGGTAGACAGAAAGAGAGAAACAGTCCCGCCCAGCAAAGACTTTGAGCGGGCAGTGTATGCAAGAAAACAGAGAAGAAAAAAAAAACGTATTACATACTTACCGGATACTTGAATCCAGAAGTCAACTCGTTCGGCGGGCTTTGGAGGGGATCGATGTGTTAGAAAGAGAGTGGAAAACGTTAGAGGGGAGTGGATGGATGGATAGATAGGTAGTACTTAGGTAGTAGCTCTCTGCTCGTTGGGGTGGGTTCTTCTCTCAGTCCGCCAGGCGCATGGGCTGGGCTCAACTCAAGTCAGGCAAGTCGAAAGTCTCCACAGCCCAAGTCAGGGTCAGGGTCAGTCAGGGTCAGGGTCAGGGCGGGTGGATGGGCCAGAATGGAATCCAAAAGATTGCCCTCTCCCACTTGCACAGTAGATCCTCCTCCTCCGCGCTTCCATCTGCCATCCCACCTGTACACTACTTACCACTCCTGCCTAGGTAGTCCTGTTCGCCCAATGTCGTCCTCCCTCCAGTCGCCCTGAAAGCTGAGGTCACTTCCCAAATGTTCAACAACCGAAACCCAAAGGTGCCAACCGCATCTGCTGATTGGATCGTGACTTGATGCCCAGTCCTCAGGCTCATACTCGTAAGAAGGCTGTTGTGCAAGTGTCCGTGCGCCAGTCGCTTGCTGCCTGTTCTCATGTCCGGTCATGAAGCGCTGTTGGGGTTGTTTACATGCCCGGTGAAGGGAGAAGAGTTCCCTTATCGAGTACGTACCTTAGATCACTACCACCAGCGTCACCATCGCTACAACGATGATCAACGTCACTTTGTCACTACAAGCACAACTCAACCACCGTTCTCATAACAAGTTGCACATATCAAAGACAGCAGAATTAGAAACCAGCGAAGGATCATTTAATCTACAAGACTCGCGAAACGACAAAATGCTATGGTTACCTACCTACAATACCTGGACCGCTCAGCCCATCATATACACCACAATTGTTGTAACTCCAATCCAGTCCCAAGCCCTTGTGATCCTGAGTGTCCTGATATGTATTGACGCCCCCAATTTCCTGTAGTTTCCCAAATAACCCGCCAAAGGAAAATGTATAGCAACTTGGAAGACAGGCAGAAGCTGATTGAAAAACAGTGCCAGTTACGAATTCATGCCATAAGCCTCCACAGCATGTCCGCGCCCTTGTTCCGTCCTTGGGGGCTCTGATCCTTCTTGTCCTTCAGCCCCGCGCGAAGTCTTCCCAGAAATCCATACAGTCCATCTGATCCGGCTTCTTCGTGTGACTCCTCCTTCTTCTCTTGGGGTGTCGCCTCAAATTCCTGAAGAAAACGAGTTGCATTGGCGAGGTAGTCGTTGTACTCCTCGCGCGTTCCCCGCAACTTGAGCCATACTAGCTTGGACTTGATTTGCGCCTTGACAACGGACACTTCGAGTTGGTGAACTCCCTGATCCATTTTCTTCCAAAATCTAGCAATATCTCCTGTTGAAACGGTATCCCTGACCTTCTTAGCCATCTCTTTGTAAGTGTTCTTGGCAGCATTGCGCGTTTCGGCAACCCGAGACGATCCAATGTGCATCACCTCCTTTTTTGCAGCCGAAAGAACACTGGTAAAGTCCTGCAGCAGCAGCCTGCTCGCCTCAAACGCTTCGATGATGAGATCCTTGCCAAAGTCAACTTCAAAGGTCTCGTTCATCTTCGGTCTGCGGTTGCTGATCACGGAAACATTGAAGCGCCCTTGAGCCTGCTTGACCGGCAATTCGACCAAGATACCTTCATCCACAGACGAAAGCTTCGTCTTGAGTCGCTCCTCCCCCTGATATACATCGATGTCGATTGCGCCTTTTGCCAGCCACATTGCCTTGCTGCTGGAGGGTATCACGACCAGCAGTTCATTCGGACTGTTCACCCGCACAGAGCAAACCGTTTTCTGTGGTTGGGAATCAACCGGGGTATTGGAGGGCCGATCCAAGAGCAGACCAGCGTAGGATAGGGCAGAGGCCAAGCTACTAGCTGATGGCTTTGTTGAAGGAGTGGCCTGGATCGTCTTGGTGGATGTAATATTGACCACGACTGTCGCCGTTGAGGTATGCGTAATCTTAACAGATACAGTAGAGGGGAGTACCGAAGTCGTCTCGATGACCGCCGGAGCTTGTGACGCCCGCGATGACTGAAGGTGTTGCGCTGGAAGAAGTCCCGAGTATGTCGAGAAGAGCTGGGCCAAAAGTGCCCCAAATAGCGGGAGAAATAAGGTAAAAAGCCATCTCTTCCATCCGATTACCTCGATGACTTGGTCCCGGGACATTCTCGAGGGCGTCAAGCTCTGCCACCACTTTGTAGCTTTCGTAGCTGACTCGTGCTGCTTTCCGGGCCCTTTCGTATCGGACAGACCCGTCAGATAGGCAATGTTACGGTTCATCTGCCAAGCATTGATGTTCCCGAAAGATTCCAGATCGACAGGTAGTAGTCGGGGAACCATCGTCTTTGTGGGGTCGCTGGACTCGAGGGAGATGTGGATCGCATGCTTATCGAGATACTTGCTCCAGTAAGCAACAGCCTGTTTGTCGATGCGTAGATGCTCGGAGATGAAGATGGATGGAATCCCATGACGTTTGGTGAATCCCCACGCGGCCTCTCTGGTCTTCTGATCTTCCTCATCCTCGTTTTCTGAGCAGTAGAAAATGGCAAGGTGAGGGACATCCCACTGTGGGTCAAGGACGGCTGGGCCGAAGCGCGAGGGGCAAGAAGCGTAGGTCCGCTCATGCTCAATGGTAATTGAATAAACCGTAGAGGGCCCATGTTCGGGTCCATTTCTCAGTGGTGTCGCAGTAGCTGAGGTGCAATGCTCAACTTTGATTTGGTAGCTTGAAGCTTCCATAAGGTCTAGTTCTGGAGCAGATCCAAACGAGGAGATCGGCACAATGTTGTAAACCCCTTCCCGGTGCCTCATGAATTGGCCGTCCTCTTTATGGCCGTCCTTTGGTGAGACCCAGATAGCGGATGAAACTTTCAGTAAGATATCTCTCTGCGCTGCTGCCGAACCTGTGTATAGAACTCGCAAAGGCTCCTCGGTGGAGAGGCAGGCCTGGGACATTGTCTGGCGCAGTGAGACCGACAAAGCCCGGGGTGGCTCGTGAGTGTCCAGAGACTTGCTCAGCGCCTTGGCCTCGTCATCCGTGTACTCCTTGATCGCATGCCGAACGAATACGGGTGAACTGTCAACGGCGTCGCTGGCTGCTTCCTGAAACTCGATAGACTTTGACGTATCTGGAATGGACGCCACCGAGCCATAATGCAAGGGGTTTGCCGGAACACTTGTCGATGGAGACTGTAGCGCTTGATCCGTGTATTTGATGGAGGAAGCACGAGAGGAACTCAATTCCTCGGCACCGTCCGTGTCCGTTGGCTCGTCTTCCTCCTCTCGTTCTTCATCTGACTCGGTCGTGAATCGGTCCTCCGAACCATCTAAACTGCGAACATCGTCGGAAGGGTGTGGAGGCAAAGAGCTGATGCTCTCAGACAAAGCGTCATCAGGACTACTCAGGGGACTGTCTTGGCTGCTGAATTCAGAGTGGTTGCCAATCATCTCGTAAGCCGAATCGGCCAAATCCCCATTGTCGGACATGATGGGGAGATTCTGTCGGATATCAGGTGAGCTATTGGACACCCAGGTTGCCAGCTTGTCGTTCCCTTGCGGCTTTGGAAAAAGGAACGCTGGAGTGGAGGACGAGAGCTTCCTTTCTTCAGGCAGTATGGTGCGTGAAGATACCGGCTGGTTGACTTCGGTATCTGATGTTCTTGTAGGATCGTCTGCCTGCGATTCCATAACGAGGATGGAGGTCAGTTAACAGGCAGCATCACCCGGTTGCTTCCCGAAATTGCAGTATGAACTGAGACCAATTCCAGGGGGATGTGATCTTTGGTGATGTGGCTGCAAATGTATGAACGTCCAGGCGAGAAGGAAGCTGAGATGTCGCGTTGGTAGTATGGAAGAAATCAAAGGACTGGTCGAGCTGTTGGGAGGAAGATGGAAGGAGCAAGGGAAGGAGGGGTTCGGTGATTGGAATGGGGGGTGGGGGTGGTCAGATCAAAGCGAGCCTGATCCAGCGACGGAAACAGTTCAGTTGGTTGAATAGCAAGAGCGCAGTTCCAGAACAGAGCAACTGAACAAATCGAACTCGACTAAAAGTGAAGATATTACTAACGAGAAGTACCAGGTTAATTCTGGTGTCCGTTGGTCTGGAATTCTTGGGCTGCCGACACCGAATTCCTTGTCGTACAGTACTTGGCGGATGAGGATGGAGGATGCAGTAGTTGAAGTTGCCTTCCCCTCCTTCCGCCTGGAAGATATGGGATTTGGGTTAGGTTGTTGCCTACTTACACCAGCAGGCGCCTGCACGGCCAAAGTGGGGGAAGGAGCTCAGCAGCAACTGCCCTCTTTCCGCTGGCGGGACGGTTTCAGATGGCCAGCCCCAGCTCTACCTGGCAGCCTCGGACTTTATCGGCGACAGCTCGAGCCGGGTGAATGACTGAAGGGAATGGTATATAGGTATCTAAGCACTGTTCTGGTTTGTCGGGAGAGATTCAGGAGAGAGTCGAGGAAGACCAATCGAACAAATCGCTACACTTCTGGACGTCTGGAGGAGGCACGATGAATGGTTTTGACCCGCACTTCTCGTTGTATAGTTGCAAAAGCCGAGTTGCAAACGGGAGAGCAGGAAGCGTGGAGGGGGAGGGGAAGTTGCGGGATATAGCCCAAAGACAAAGGTAATATGAAACTAAGACTGTTGGGCGGAAGTGTGGTGGAAGGGAGAAAGAAGAGCGGTGCGGTTGGAGAGGTGTGATACGGTCTGAGAAGCTCCCCCTCGTCTACTTGACGAATTCCTATTGGTCCAAACCGGTCAGTAACGGGCTGTTAGAGTGTAACGGTGCTGGTCCGGGCAGCGACGGACTGACCACTGCGCCGTCCACATCCTTCAATGAAGTCACCCTTTGCTCTGTTGCGGTGTCCAGCCTGCCTCACATTCTGCAGGAAGATACCACATCTTCGACGAGGTTCCATTAACCTCAAGCCGCCGTCTAACCATGGGGGAAAAAAAACGGAAAAGGAATGTTATTCCAGCTATCACAAAGAGCAGCTTGTTCCCACCCAGGCGTGTTAACGTCACGAATGAAGGTCTTCACCGTTGGTCGTCAATGGTGGGGTCGGTCTTAGGCAGATGGCCCCTGGACGACTGTGAGGGGTCTGAAAGGGGATTCGCCTCGCCCGGGCCCAAGCAA